ATCCATCCATCCATCCATCCATCCATCCATCCATCCATCCATCTGAAAAAAACTCTAAGCAACTCACTTGATCTATAGCATAAAACTTTGTCTCTATTCAGAAATCAATTCCACCGAATTACTTCCATAAGTAATACTCCCATACGTAATATGGGAGTAGTAGTAGGGGGAAGTAGTAGTAGTGTCGAGTAGTATGGGAGATATGTAATCTCCTGTAAGTAATTTCTCCCATAAGTGATCTCCCATAAATAATACTCCCATAAGTAAAAAAATAAAGGCCCATACCCCTAATCTACAATAAGGTAGAGTCTTACAGATTCCAACTTTAGAATCATATCACCCCAAATAATGCTAAGATAAAGAATCTTGCCTATTTTGAGGGAAATATTTCTTTTTTTGTCAGAACAAACCTTTTGAAATTCTATTATAGCAGACGTAGCTGGCATTTTGTTAATAACATACAAAATGAATAGATTCATGTAAGTATTTATAAAGGGTAAACATTAAACATCAATTTAATTTGGAATATACAGTACAGCTGTGTTCTGATCACCATACTTGAAATAACAAAATAACTGCCTGGGCTACCATAAAAAATACAAAACAGGACATACAGTTCAAAACCCTCACCTCTCTCATTTCTCTTATTTTTTCATTTATTATTTTCTTTTCGGTATTATCAGTTCATAATATTAATAGCAACACATACAGGCAACTATGTAGCTTTTTGATTGATAAAGGAGTAAAGGTGTATATTATTATAATTGCTATTATTATTATTGGTCTAAATTATACCCCCTCCCCCCAAAAATAAGCAATGGGCAAGCAACTCACCTATGCAAATTCTATCATCTTCCTATTTTTCTGAAAAGGTTAAAAGAAGACTTTACATTCAAACAGAGAAAAGACTAGTCAAATCATATTAAGCCTGATTGGCTTGCTCTACTTCTTTATATTTCTATTCCTGTTCCTTAAACTCAAAATCGGATTAATTCATTTAATTCCAGAGATTATCAAGAATGGCCTATCTTCAATCAGCCTACTAATACCTACTTTCTTTGTCCTTCACAAGTATAAGCAGATTCAGAAGAAAAGAAAAATAGTTTTTCTTGCAATGTTTGAAAATTAGATCAAAAGGATTTTTTTCCAGAAACATTTAAACAGACTGCATATTAAGAAGCAGCCAATTCATACTTAACTACTACTGTGTAGATTTTTGCTTTTAATACTGGGGCATCCATGGAGCGATCAAAAAAGTCAAGATGGAGTCCCCAGCTGGCATGGTCTAACCCTGCCCCTAAAAAAGATGGTCATGGCCATCTGCCATCTTGTCGGTTTTAACCCCTGGTGGACATTCCTGCCTTGGTATAACAAGGAAAAACAACAACAACCCACCACCACCACCACCAAAAACCAAACCAAGGAAGTAGTTAAGGCTGGAAACAAGTTTCACTGAACTTAACAGGACTTCCTTTCCAGCAACCAAGTATAAACTTTCACTGCAAAGGATTGCTTTTGTGAGGTTGTGACCATGGAATTAGTACAACTAATTAAAGGGCCATAGGCCAAAATACACTTGTTGCTTTAAAGGGTCGAGAATAAAATGACGGAAGAGTGGCAGGTGGGACAAGTTTCAGTAACATTTTCTCAGTCCTAGATGGGCTGGTGCGACCAATGTTGAAAGTCAGAAAAAAGAATGGCATATCAGCGTTTTAGAAAGAATACACATAATACCACAAAGTGAACATTTTGGGTAATAAACGTAAACTGCAAAGAGCCTAACTAAATTGGAAGGGATTGTAACTACTTGTTATGGGTATGGAGAAACCATGTGATTAGTTATGGGGTTTTAAATGGAACTTCTGGAAATGGTCTGACCCATTCTAACTTTGGAGGTAGTTTGATTAGAATTTGTATCCAGATTACTTTAAAAAGAATGTTCAGCTCTCCCATGCGATTAGGTAGAAAAGTCCTAAATTGGCAATCAAAATAGAAACAGAAATAGAAATAACTGCAGGCTACACTCTCCAGTTTCTCAAAAAGACCATGTCTCTCTTACTCAGTGACAAAAGGTAATGATACTTGCAGCCATCATAGTAAGCCAAATTTCCATTTTTTTCCTGAGTTCCACAGAGGGCCTTCTTCATCTTGCAGTACTACAAAGGAAACCAAGTTCATAGCTGCTGGTTAAAGCTTGGAATGTGCCATTTGTTCTACCTCCTGCACTTTTCTTGTTTCAGTGTTAGTCTGCAATACATTTCACTTCAATTTGATATAATTGGACTAGAAGTATTGAGCGAGGAAAATGCAGGGAACAACTTCGTTAGTGAACTCTCTATGGAGGCAAAATCTTCTTTTTAATAGATGTCACACAGCTGAAGGATTTAGGAAGACTTTGTTAAAGAGCTCCAGGGGACAAAAAAGCCAAAAGTCAACTTGCTAATTCCAAACCTCTCCCAATTTAAACTCTTAATACAATTAATGTAATATTGATGACATATTTAGAATAATTCTTAATCTAGTGTATTGGAGAAACTCAGGAGCCTGCTTAGTGCAAATGTATCCAGAAATCCCAAAGTATAATTTTATGATTTAGCAATACTAACAGATAGTGTAATGAAAAACACATAGCAAGCTTCTTACAAGAATGAGATCTTAGCTCGCATTCATAATGTAAATTCTATTCATTTTATTAGGATTTTTACCACAATTTCATTTTAAGAATTGCATAATAAATTGGTGAGAATATTATCCTGTATTATACTGACAATTCTGTTACATGTAATGAACTAGTGGGTAAGATATTACTTAACATTCTATATCAGGCATCAGAAATTTTAAGTGTGTTACCCTTGTGTGATTTGTGAGCACTAAAAAAATTACCAAAATTTCATATGAGCTTGGGTAATAATATAGAGATTTTGTAAGATTTGGCTTCTCTTATGAAATTTTTGGCATTTTTCACTTAAAATATTAATTACATAAAAAAATGTTTGAAGGTTAGTGGATGTAATCAAGGCCTGTCATAGGTACTGATTCCCATAATATATACAGTGCTTGCTGGCAAAACACCTAAGTTATTTCCTAATAAAATAAGCTTTTATCAGAAGCTTATTTATCAAGAAACTAGGCAATATTTCACAATGCAAAATTTGTTAAAAGAACTAAGTATAAATATTATACAGAGGAGTGGGGCTAAAAGAATTAGAATTCTAAAATTATGATAATAATTTCATTAAGTTTAATTTTATCTTAAAAGATGCAGCTATGATGCAAGGTAAATATATAGTTTGCTGAATTTAAAGATTAGCATTCATTCCAACCCAGTGCTTTATCAACTGATGGGCAATGGCTTGATGTGGTGGCACAAAAATATTCTGGTTCTTTTTGTTGAGGATCTCTATTACCTGGAAGGGGAAAAAAAAAAAGAAAGAAATCAGAACAAGAAGTTCACCCTACACAGGAATTGAAAGGCAGTAGCTAAAATCAATACCCAATAGCTTTTGATAGAAAACATTGAGCAAATCTCATATTTATTCCATTACTTCTCATATTGGTAGTGTTTACTATTTCTGGAATGATCTACTCCCTTTTTCATTTCTAAAATTGGTGAAGGGAAAGCCACAGACTAAAAGCATCAGTTCCCTTTTCTTGAAAGATCAATATAATTATATTATTTCACAGTTTTATCTATTTCAGAAACTGGGTTGCAATAAGCTAACAATTTACAGTATGTCTGCTAATAATACTTCAATCTGAAAATGAACAGATGGAAAGCATCAATTTAAACCAGAGAATCTAACTTGATCACTCTGCCAGGTCATCAAAGTTGGTAATGAAAACATCTAAAAAGAAACATGAGTGGGAAACATGGGAGACTAATCATTTTATGAAATAATTGCTTTAGTGGTGTTTACCTCAATAGCAACAACCTGAAATATTTTATGGAAATAGAAATTGTTCTAATAAAAATGGTCACCTCATTTATCTGACATCTCCAAGGAGAAAATATTGTAAAACTGAATCAGGATGATCATTACACTTGGAGAGAAAACCATGTATTTTTAAGCCTTCTCTGAAATGTACCAACACAACTTACTGGCAAGATCTATGGGCTCAACAGAGAAACAATTGCTTGTATCAATTCTTTTACAAACATATAATTTTCCATTTCAGGGTAATCACTGTACAATAAGGAGAGTAAGAAGTCTAATTTGTCTGACTGAAAAAAGCACATCCATATTGTATGTCCTAACCAATGCATTCTGAGGACAATCAATAAGAAAAGGAAATTAAATTGAACTTTACCTGTTCTCTACTGAACCAGCGGGCATCTTCTATTTCAATGTTGTCAACCTTAATTTCTGTAGACACTGCAGCTGCTATGCATCCAATCATTAGGGAGGAGGGCATTGGCCATGGTTGACAAGAGACATACCGAACTTGGCCCACTTTAACTCCGCTTTCCTCTTCTACTTCCCTTCGAACAGCATTTTCAATTGTCTCACCTAATCAAAGAAAAAGTAGAACAGTTAATTGACAAAGCTTAATGCAAGGATTATATCCTGTGCTTTAAATATCTCAAAAGATATGAACCTTTCTTGAGCAATCATTCAAAGAACAGAGAATAAAGTATTTCCAACAGGAAAATGCATCCACAAAAAGCAAAATAATGTCAAAGCAATGTAATAATTTCAAAGGATGTAAATTGATTGCATATCTTTGCAGTAGTTTTCTGGTCCCCTGCAACTGCTTTTATCAACGAATGTATTTTCAAGTTAAATTATTTTCATACATTTTGCCCCAGTTTTATTGTACATGGATAACTCATATCCAGGCAAGATAAAGAAAATGAATCAACACAGCTCATGGGATCCTTTGAAAATGAGAGTAACAGGATGTACCTATGAAGGGTGGGGGGGATACTTGGAGCAGCAGATGTCTTGCAACATCTTAAGGTTTGGAATAAGTTTTAGTAATTTACATTTCTAAGGAACAGACCCATTGGAAAAAGATGTGCAAAAACTGTATTAATGGAAATTGTAATAGATTTTTATGCTAATCTTAATTAAAGACTGCAGTGAGCTTTCAATTACTTGTTTGGCTTTATAGATTTCAAACCTCATCTTTAATTATCTTAACATCACTTTTCAAAAGTTGACACTCAGGATCTTTGCATTTCAAAGCATGTTGACAGCTCCAGTTCCAATAAAGAAAAGAGGGCTTGCAAACTGTTTTGAGAATAACAGCTACAGACTGTAATTATGCAAATATTTTAATATTTCTTTAATTTTTAGCTCAGTGCATCTATTAAGTTCAGACTAATGGAAATCCTTTTAGATGTTCATGGTCCTTCACTAATGGCACTTTTAATATATAGCAGAACTGAACAACCTTTTTCATACTGAGAGCCGAACTGGGCTACTAAGTGATGGACGTGTTGGGCAGTCAAAGAGTAGACAGCTGGAGGAAGAGTGGGGAATCCTTTAAATCTAAAAAATCAGCACATACAACTGTATTTAAATAAAAGCAAAAATAAATAAAAGCAATAACAAAAGCAGTAGAGTACTTCAAATGGCAGTTTGCAACTGAATTCCAACAGCATGCTGTTGAAGTTTAATAACATCATATGGGGAAGACTCTGGAGGCTGCATGTACCGCTATATAGGAAAAACAATCTAGTAGTTACATGATTATTCTAGAGGTTGCTGTTTCCTACACACTTCCTCCCATAGCCGATAATCCCAGTCCAGCAACCTTTAAAGCAATACTGCTGGCTACTCTCATGTCCCTCAAGAGCAGTGGATGGACTGTTTCATACCCATCTCTCAATGGACCCAAGTAATAGGAACTTATCATATATGCCCTCTCTCTCTCTTCTATGCATTTGTGCCCTGTTCTTCAACCAAATAATATACATTTTATGGAAGTGCAAAAATCTCTATGTATGAACTCCCCTGTGCATGGAATAGCCAGTTTTGGATGGTCTATGCCCAAACAAAAATATCTGTGTTTCAGCTGTTCTGGTTCATATTTGGAATGAAACAGGGATGTTTTGTTCCAGGCATGGATCAAAGCATAGTAGTTCAAGGTTAGGGCAGGGGGGAGATAAGATGAGGAAAAGGGCATGGCAAAGGAGTTTCCCTGCCCATGTCATATGTGGAAATCAGAAGCAGGGAAGGAAAAGGCCTGAGAAGATTGGGGTAGGGAGGCCAGTAGGATACACTGCATGAACAGCAGCAGCTAAGGGGAGGTGGGGAAGGAGAAAGAGAAAATCACTGGCAGGCCAGTGGGATATGCTGCTTTGGGATCCTGTTCCTTACTGTTATCAGTATGAAAACAGCACCGAGGCCAGTATATTAGTAGGGACTGAGGAGAGGTGAGGGAATACATTAGGGAAGGTGTTGGGAAGACTAAGGGTGGGATGGCCAATGAGGTAAGGCTGGGAAAATTGAAGAGCCCTCTCCTTGCAAAATTACTTTGATATCCTTCCATATGTTGTTTCAGCTGAAATCCAGAACAAATGAAATATTCTGGGTTTTGTTACTGCCAAACTGCAGCAAATCTGAAACAGTTCAGCAGAACATCTATCTGTACATTTGTTCTTTCCAGAGCAAAACAAAGTGACAATAAAAAGCCATATAAAATCAAGATATGCGTTATTTCTGAAATTCCTCATATCCCAGAAATCTCACCGCATATTCTGGCAACAATCTACAACTAAAATTATTTCCTGACATTTTTCATCAGTAAATCTCTGAAATAGGAATACTGGGCTATTTAGATGGACTTCTGTCCCCACTAATACCAGATTCATAGCATGGAAAAAACAACCTCCCTGAAATCCCAGTCCCACAGTCCCATCCACTAAAGCAGTGTTTTTCAAAGTTGGCAACTTTAAGATGTATGGACTTTAACTCCCAGAATTACATCTTAACATTGCCAAGTTTGAAAAACATTGCACTAAAGGATGTCACTGACCCATGTTCTGTGATGAACTGCCCAAATAAATAAAGTATTTCCACCAAACTTACTTTGGTCTTATTCAGACTTACAAAGCTGCTAAAGTCATAGAAGGGTCATATAATTCCAAATTGCTTCTAGCTCTTAACCATCCTCAACTCCTATTCAGTGAACAGGATGCTCTTTTGACTCCTTTGATGAATCCATTCAAGGCACAATTAAGAATGATTTCTGTTTTTGTGGTTTCTGCATGAAAGAATGTAATTACCTTCCCTGCAAACCAGTTTTTGTTCATCTTCATTTGAATCTGCATATGACAAATCTCTGCCACATTGTTCCTATATTATCCCCAAGAGATCCAAATCTTGCTGCCCAATTAGAACCAGATATTGTCCATGCAGAGAAATATTTCCCATTTATTCCTCTACAGAGAAAAGAGAAAAACTGCCAAGAAAGCCATTATGAAGTTGTTCAGTGGCTAGACTTAAATAATGTGGTGAAATATCAGCTTAAGAACATTTTGGAAAGGTCTCTCAAATACAATGTGTACCCTAAATTTTGAGGTTTCAGTATCCAAGAGGGTACAGTACTCTACTGTACAAGTTCCTTAATCAATCCACCTGAATTGCCAAATGATAGCAATTCAGGTGGATTGCTGCCTTCATTCTATGTTGAATTGGGATTCACCAGCTATGTAGCAGATGACCCTAGAAAGCTATCTTCAAACCTATCAGCTATTATTTTGCTGGAACATGGAGATCCCCCTCCATTTCCCCCTCTAATTTATTCTTAAATGAATGAAAAAGGATATCCTCTTGCCTATCTTTAACCTTGAACAGTGGGAAGTCTCTGTTTCAAACTGTTAATCTGCTGTGAGTTTTGTACTTGAGCTTTTTTAAAAAAAATTCTGGTACTGCTTCAGTGGTTCCCTTCTCCAGAATTCTTTTTAGATATCTGGACAAATACTCCACACAAGTTATTTAACTTGTTCTTACAATAGGCTCAAAACAGTAATCCAGCTGAAGGAGCTGTGTTTTGATGCTCTTTGCTGTTGTGTAGCTTCTGTGATTTTGTGCCTCCTATTTGAGAAGTTTTTATATTCCTAAGCAGACAAATCTTTAGATGCTTGTGAAAATAGATCTTCCTCAAAATTCCTCCTTTAATTCATCTCCTTTTGGTCAATCTCTTTCCTGTCCTCTTCACAATTGCTACTTTATTATCTTTCAGGCAAGGTACAACCTACCAACAGATGGTAATCTTTCTTAGAATCTTCATTTTCCTGTACGTTCTGATTGTCTTAGCTCACAAATTGACTAAACCCAGGTTCTTTTGAATACTTGAGTTCTGTGCTTCTATGTGTGTCTCTGTGTTAACAAGAGAGTGAATGGAGTATTGGAGAGCGACCCAGGTTCTTCCTCCTTCCTTCCTTCCTTCCTTCCTTCCTTCCTTCCTTCCTTCCTTCCTTCCTTCCTTCCTTCCTTCCTTCCTTCCTTCCTTCCTCTCTCTCTCTATATACACACACACACACACACATAAACACATGCATGCATGTTAGAATGTGACTTGAGCTTTAGTCATGCTTCAAAAGCAGAAGTGGTAACATGCTTCTGTCACTGAAGGTGATACTTAGAAATCAATTCAATACTTTGCTTCCCCATCCCCCCAAAAAGTAAAAAAGTTTAAAAACTGACATTATATACACAAAGAAAACTCACCAGGCTCTACAAATCCAGCAAGGCAAGTAAACATGCCTGGGGGAAATGTTTTTTTTCTTCCCAAAAGGCAATGGCTACCTTCTGGATGAATGACTTGCATTATCACTACAGGATCTAAAATAGAGGTTAAGAAGAGGCATAAATATTTAAATCTCTTTTAAAAAAAGCAGCAAGAAGTACAAACCTAACTGTTCTCACTTAGCATTGCTATCTCCTTTCAATGCTTGAAACCCAACTCTCAGAAGAAGCCCTATAGCTAAGCAAACTTACTGCAGGATTTAAAAAAAGAAAAAAAAAACCCTTATTCATGTGTTTTTGTAACACTGACGCCTTCTGGGAATGTACGTATATAGACCAAAAGCAAGAGTCAGGAGATAAATTGCCTGAATAGCTGCATGATTTTGATAAAAACACTGTAAGTGACTAGTTATATACAACAGTGACTTAATCAGCAGGAATTTTTACTTTCAGCAACTTCCAGTTATTGATTAATGGTTTAGTGATATGTATTGATTTCCAAATGCTATGTCTAAAGGACAAGAAGATTTAGTTACTATATTGTAGTTTGTAGTTCTATCAACTTTCATAACTTTACATTAATGGTAATTTTAATCAGTCCAGTCTTTGGAAATTAAATGTTGAAGCAAAAAGGCAACATGTAAGTGGTCTGTTAATAATAAAATGAGGAAAAAAATGGAAAAACATGACAATCTGCTTGTTTCTATAGGCATAGCCATAAGAGAGTTGGTAGAACCCGAGAAAAACTGGCTGGAAACACACAGCTGAAATCAGAGCTGCTGCACCTCTATTACTGCAGCCCTTTCAACTATATTATTTTCTAAAACTTGCTAAATGTAACAGCTCTGCACTGTATGAACATTTTTTCTACTTGCTTCTTCTTATTCTGTATCGTCCCCACTTTTTCTCTCCTACCCTAACAATCTCTTTTCACAATCTTGATATATGTATTTGCTACACTGCTCTGTCTCTATTGTCAGGTTTTGACATTTCCACTCAGGAAATGGAAAAAAAAAAAAAGATATTGCAAGAGGTTTCAACTAGTGATCCTTATACAGACCATTCCTTTTGTCCACTCTTTCTTCTGTAGGATTTGCAGGTGGGATAAAAGGAGGTAGACAAAGGAATGAGTAAAAAAATGTGATGTAAGATGCGATGGTTACTGTCTCTGAGCTTACATTTTAATAATTTTGTTAAGTATAGATTCACAACCCAGTTCCTTCATATTTTGATATTCAATATTCTTATTCCCTTTTTCCTTTTTGTTGGCTTCTCATCTTATCCTCTCAAAATGACAGATATGACAATCCCATTAGGTAAATATGTTTCAAAGTGATGACCTGTAGCAAATGTATGTGCTGCAAAGTACTGAGCAGGAGTTTCAAATCTTGCTGACTACTTCATTTGTTAAAGAAATTTCACTGGAAATACCAACTGTTGGCTCAGCGAACTTGCATATCTCATCCTGATCACATTTCCCCCCCTTTTCTTAGGTATTATATCTTCAGATGTAATAGCTATTTATTCCTAGCTTCAATTAAGTTGTCTGTGAAATGTAAAGAACTTTCATCAATCAAGATCATAAAGGAAAATAAAAAGGGAAATATAAAGAAAAAACCTGTAATATACCATGAGGAGAAGGTGCAAAGTAAGTTAACAAAGAACCAATAAGAAATAAATTAATAGTAAACAGCTATGTAAAACTGTTAAGATATAAATGTACCTTTTAAAATGAATTGCAAATAAATATACAAGGATGGAAACAAGGCAAGGACATATATAGTGGAATAATTATTTAAATTCTTTAAACTTGATTATACCTGTTGAATGTTTACCTCTTGTGCTTTATAAACAAAAGAGAGAAGGAAAGAGAATTCATGTTCTCTAGAGAGAATACAGAGGTTATGCTCATAGAGAACAGTAAATCAGATGTATTGCCTTGCTAGCAGCATTCACAGGGGGTGGAGTGAGGATAAAAAAAAGGCAAGATGGTGGAAGCTGTATTGGAATGTAAACTGGCCCTTTATGTATGTGCATCACACATATACATGCCCATTTCTATAGCTTGCCTTTTTTGACACCCACCCCCACCTGCAGACACCATTGTGCCTTGTGCTCTCAAGTTACTCCTCCTTCTACAATTAGCTGGCTAAACACATTTTATGCCTGATCTTACATTTAGTCCGTCCATAACCCGTAACTCATGAGACAACCTTGTAATCCTGAGATGTTTGGAAGCACCAAAACAGATCTTGTTTTTCAACTTTAGAAAGGGAAAGTACTGCAGAATATTTTTCTGATGGCAGGAGGATTGAAATGTTGTATGACTATCAGTATACAATTTGCTAACAACAAGCTGCATCAGCCAACAATCTTAGTTTATCCATATGAGCATACAATACTAATAAAAAGAGAGAACCTGACTAATTTTAATAATGTCTATTGCCTTATTTTGATCTTTGCCAATATTTATGGAAAATGTACAGAAAATGTGTATTTTGTAGCTACTGTTTAGTTTGGATGAAGGAATGGTCTTGCTGAGAAATAAAAGAATGTTAGAATTGGAAGACCATAATCTGAGGTTTGGTTGGCATGGCTTTTTATGGTATGATAAAGTTAATGTGGATTTAAAAATCATTATGTAAGAACTGCCATATTGAGAGTATGAAACAAATATAAACCCAGGTTATGCCTGAATATACTTTAATTGACCTCAGCGCAAGAAGCATTCTATAGAAGAGAAACAGCCGATAGGGAGAAATAGTTAACATATCAAGACTTATTAATATAGGAAGATGGAGAAATTAAGATAAAGTCAAGAGAGCAATTGACTGTAGAAGGACATAGTTTTCAGTGGTTCTCATATGCACAGTTAAAAGAAATGTTTAATATGGATAAAAAGACAATTGGAATTGAAAAACACAAAACAGAATTTGAAATTGAATTATGCACAAATGATGAACATATAATAGCAAAAATGTATAAACTTTTGTTAGGATTTGAAACAGAAGAAGAATAGGTTAAAGATTACATGACAAAATGGGCTATTAATTTTGGGTATTTTATAGGGTTGGACACTTGGGAGAGAACGTAACTGGTTATATAGCGTCATAATTTAAGAAAGCAAATATAAAATGATGCATCATTGGTACATGACATGAGAGAAATTATCAAAAATGTATAAAGGTATTTCAAATCAGTGTTGGAAATGTGAAAAACATGAGGGGACATTTTATTGTGCATGGTGCACTTGTGAGAAAGCTAAGAAATTTTGGATACAAATTAACACAATGATGCAAAGGATTTTAAAGATTAATACTGTACTGCAAAGAAACCAGAACTCTTTTTACTGGGATTTATGGACACTGAATTAGAAAAGACACACGGTAGATTGTTTTTGTATATGGTAACTGCAGCAAGATTATTGTATGCACAACAATGGAAGAATAATGAAATCCCCACCACGGAGGAATGGATTGTGAAAATGTCAGAATAGGCAGAAATGGCAAAACTGACCTGTTTGGTCAGAGAAAATAACAGCAAAACTTTTTTGAAAGACTGGAAACCCTGTGTGGACTTTTTGCTCAAAGAAGAAGGAAATGACATGATTTATGGATTTGAAGATTAAGAAAGATGTGGATTAAATGAGGGGCCAAGGGACTCATAGCATCTAAGATTGTTATTATTTGTTGAAAAGAAGGTTGGAAGTCACATATATTCTTCAAATTTAGTTTCTTTCTTTTTCATTTCTTTCTTTCATTCATTCATTTTTTGCTTTCTTTTTTTCTTTTTTTCAATTTGTCTTTTATTCTATGGAGAAAAATTTTAAGAAAAATTTTTAAATTTTAATTTTAATTTAATTTAATTTTTTTTATTTTAATAAATAAAATAAAGAAAATGTACAGAAAATGTATACCAGCGTATACAGTGAAGTGTTTTAATATTAAAACAACAAAAGCCAGGCTTTCACGTGGTTATTCTACCTGGTGACTATCCATTTTTCTCCCATTACTAAGATGCAATTTTGTTATGCCATACATATAGGTGTAATTTTCAAGTTAACGCATAAGTTCAGAGACATAATTTCAGATTCCATACTGCTACTTAATACTCTGATATTAGCAAATATTCTCTTACCAACTCTTGGGAAGCATGTATTATGAATTCCCTTATGGCTGGGACAGTCTTTTTTTAAGCATGATTTCCTGTAGCCTCCGTCTTCTAATTTAGTTGCACTGCCACATGTTGGGCAAAATTGATACCGATTATCCCATGCTAGAACAGGTCTAGCTTGGGCAATGACTCCTAAAAAAGGACACACAAAACATTCAGTCAATACCCAGCCTCTTTTCTGCAGATACTGCAACTTCAACTTTCCAATTTATCATTAAAATTGACACAAAAATAGCTTTTATGTCTTGCTATTAATACTGGTCTAATATTTAAGCATTTGTTTGTACACTGTTGGGGAGGTTTTTTGGTCACTGCCTTTATATTTGTGACATTTCAGAACACTGAAATGTTCTAGATCTTAAATATTAGCATGTTAAAGTTATCATTAGAAGTGTAATCAGAACATTTTTCTGACATTCAGCTATCAACAAAAATGTAATCCTATAATAAGAAAAATTAAGAAGGGAATTTAATGAACCAGAGAAAATAAGACAAGAAGGGCAAAAAATTTCCATAAAATATATTATCAATGTCTAATTTGTGGACCTGCAAGTAAAATTAGAAATTAAGACAATCTGTTGTTTACTCAAATCAGTAAGGTTTAGCATAGTGATAGCACTATTCCCCTAATACACATAGAGATAACATAAGCTAATACTTGTTACAAGTAGTTCAGTTAGAAACAACTAAGGATGTGCATCAAAACCACTTGAATCCTAAATCAAAGCAGGGATTGTTTAGAGTGATTTTGCACAAAGTAAGGTGAGATACTGGAAGTTCCTGGGTTAAGAATGCCCGGGTTATAGATGACCTATAGTTAAGAACGGAGCCTATTGTAGCAAAATTCGAGTTAAATACACAATGATTCAAGTTAAATACATAATGATTCGAGTTCATTACACAATACTGTTCCGAATTACAATGATTGAAATTGTTTGCCACCCAGAATCACTTGGAATGAGATGGGCGGTTATAGAAATTGCATGCATGCATGCATGTATGGATAAATAAATAAAATACAAATTCATTAAAAACTTGTTCTTAAACTGGGGACTACCTGTACCTACAAAGTGCTCCAACCTGAATTAGGAATGTTACAAAAAGACCTTCCCAACTTTTGCCCCAGCACGTAAGCAGAACCTTACCAGCTTCATTTTCAGATAACTGCAGCATTGCAGGCATTGGTGGATGAAGGAAATAGCAACCTTGATGCTCTTGTAGAAATCTATCAGCAGCTGTAGAATCTATACTAAGAGCAAACCAGGTAACTAGGCCATCCTCATCTTCTTTGCCTACATTTGAATCTTTCACACTTAGACCATGAAATTCTACTCCCAGAAAAATTGTAGTGATAGTTTCAGTCTGCTCCAGATATCTCTTTATATCCTTATAGCGAAATTTACAAAGCTTAACCTTTGGATACTGGAAACTATGTTCACCATCATCTGATGTAACTAATGGATTTAAATTTGAAAAAATTATATATATGGTGGTTGGTTCCTTCTGTTTCATGCTCAGCCACTTTGAATCTACTCTCTTCTCACTCTTTCTATCCAAAAATGTCCTGCAAAAGTAATGTTCATGTTCTTTGACTTGACAAGTCAAGAAAAATGGCTCCAATCCATCTTCCACATTAGCTAATAAATTAGCTATGTTTTTATAGCCCCAAAATCTAGCAATATCCAATGCAGTCTGGTTTGAAGTATTGGTTCTGGACCTGTCACACCTTTAAAACAGCAAATTTTAAAAGGTTACTTTGGGGTAATATTTTCAGAGAGAATGTCATATTATATCAGGTACCATAAAAATATCCTAATCTCACAGGTGATATATCAAAACTGAGTACAATAAAGAAGTACACCATGACCCAGGTAGGATTTTGAACTACTGCAAGTTTTCTTTGCAGAACAGAAGGAATAGGAAGATGTATTTTTGAACAGTGATGAACCATGGACAGCAAAAAGGAATTGATGAACTATTAAAGAAGGTGAAAAGGCAACTCAGTCCTGTGAAAGTGGAAGGATGACAAAGAAGCTCAAAATAACCCTGACAGTCTTTCAAGACTGATGTTAGTCCTCTGAAGTAGGCCAAGTCAACACTTAGACATCACAAGGATTCCAGGAATTCTACTTTATTGTTATAGAGTATGATAACAGAATCTTGAAAGTCTGTCAGAGTTCTCTGCCTCATTTTATACCAAAGAGAATCAAGATGGGGTTAATTTTGGTTTCTTACTCATGCTTTCGACTTTCCCAGGACTCAGTTTCCTGTGAAACCAGGTTTACACCTCATTCAGTCATGATCTTGAACTAGTCACTATCTTAACTCAACCTACCTCACACCATTTCTAAGAAAATAATAAAATGAGATGAAACTCCATGTGTACTGCCTTGAGTTCCCAGTGAAAAGGCAAAATATACATATTTTTTCATTTTAACTGAATTTAAGTGAATTTTTTTCTTTCTTTCTTCATTTTAACTGTGAATTTAAGAGAACATATTGCTCTTGGAAACAGAATCACCTCCACAGAGCAGTAAGTAACTTTCAACAAGGCACTGAATGTAGACAAGTTGAACAATGCCATTTTTCATTTTTTCTTACCCCTTTTCAAGAAGAACCTGCACAATTTCAAAGTGACCATTTCTAGTTGCATACATGAGGGCTGTCCAACCGTTCATAGCAGCTTCATTGATAAGGGATGGAGAATGATCTAGCAGTGCTGTAAGCCTGGCTTTGTTTCCATCTGCAGCAAAATGGTGAAGCTCGGAAATCAGTTGCTTTTTTGGATTTCCTTCACTATCCTCCATAACGTGTTTGATTAAAAATGTAGCACAGGCTGAAAAACATGGATCAAGATACATTATATTGATCTGATTTCACATCTTATAGGGTAACTAAATACAAAAGACAATACACCTATCCTTCAAATAATTCAGCAAAAGAAGAAGCCAGAAGAAAAGTAATTCAAAGTGATTCTTCTGCAATGAAGCTTTCCAGTTAATAAGTGGTAAACAAGTCTCTCTAACAAAAGCAGACTTGAAAAGCACCATTTGCGGTTTCTATTTTTTTTTTTAGTTATCACTTATCTTTCTCATGTAGGCTATTTAATTTGGATCACAGCATCCAAAGAAATGCTGATTAATTCTTGGTTGCTGCAGTACTTCTATCAAAGATAACTCCCTTTTCTTGCCAGCTATTAGCTTTGCAATGTTAGCTCTCGTAGCCATGATGGCTGTTCTACCTATTGCTTACTGATACAGAAGTAACATACTAGTAACTCACAAAGCTTAATCAGGTGTAATAAAGATCATTATTGCTACTTTTATGGGACTCACATTGAAAGCTTTTCTTCCTCAGCACATTCAAACTTCAAAATGCTTTATTCTGTTCTGTAGGGATAGAAGATGTACTATTGAAATCGGGATGTATTCTTTTTAAAATTCTACAGAATGTTAACACATTTAGTATTGGAATAAATTCAGCAGCACATGATTTTGTAGGATCTGCTTCCAGCGAAGTGTTACTAAGACAGCCAGTTTGGTCTAGTGATTCAGGTGCAAGATTGGGAACAGGGAGACTTGAATTTGAATCCTGCCTTGGGCATAGAAGCCAAACAGGTGGCTTTGCACCAGTCACACACTTTCAGTCCTAAAAACAAGGCAGTGGCAAATCACTTCCAAAAATGTTGCTAAGTCACCAGGAGACAAAACTGACTCAAAGGCACCAGCCCCCACCCCCCACCACCAACCTTGCATGGTGTGCCTGAAAACATACTGTACAATGGCTCAGTTCTCAAACAAATGAGGGTCTTATTTCACATGCACCAGGCCTCTAGTGAGTTTATTTGCCAGACAGGGAGCCAGATTGGGATAAAAAAAAAATGTATTGAAACTCAGTGTCTAATGTTCTTGGCTACAATAAGGCAGAGGTTTGCTGCTGCTTTCCAGCCTACATCCTTGGAATTTCCTCGTGGTCTCCCAGTATGATTAAGTCCGACCCTGCTTAATTTTTCCAGGTCAGTCCAGGTTCTACAGCCCACCTCCAATTCAGAAAGTGAAGCTTACAGATCGGCCCGACATTTACACCTCTCGGGTCCGAAGCAATACAGTGGATTCCTCCCTGTTCCGTTTATCCTTCGCTAACCTTAAGAAGCTCCCCCTTCGTTCTTTCACGCACCGCAAGAAAATCGGAAATGCACGCCTAACAGAGGCTTCTGCCCGCAGACTTAGGCCTGGAAGAGGAAAGGCCCACGGGCGCCCAAACCGTAGACTTGGGTTCGTTTCAACGGACAGTGAGGAGGGTCTCTAGGGCCAGAGGGAAGGGGCTGCGTTAGGTCCAGGAAAGGAAAGACCAGCCCAAGGCAGTCAGAATCCCTTCGAGACCTTCCGTTACCTCAGCTCTGCGGAGCGGTTACCTACACGACTTCTTCCCGGAGGTGCCTCCAGCGCCAAGTGTTGCAAAACGGCATCTTGGGAATTGTAGTTTCTTCCGCAGGCACAGAAAACAGTGCGGCAGCTGTAGAGACAGTATTTTAAATAGTTTCCTTTCAAACTCGTTCACATGTGGACATAGGCAGATTCTTTTAGTGTGATCGTCCTCGCATTAACAAAAAAAAATGTGGGCTTTATTTAAAGATTTGTCCCCAAAGAGCAGCAGTTACTCGGCTCGTTGCTTTGCAAACTCCTTATGATTTTAAGGCTGTAAATTTAGGCACCTTTACCTAGCAGCCTCAGGTATCGTGGTAGGCTTTATTTCCATGGAAACATCCACATAATTGGCTGCAAACTGTTGTATTTGTTTTGGGTGGTTTAAGGAAAGAGATGCTGAGGCTGAAATGCTCTCCTAATGAATTCACTAAGGTTTATTACTAGGAAGATAAACATAGGACTGCACAGCGTGATTGAACAGAATTGATGTAGCATGTTGACTTCATAACAGTTTGCATATTTTCAGAAAGAAATGGCTCAGAAGCTTATTGAAAACAATAGAAACAAACAAACAAAAAATAGACAAAGATGTACAGTGGCCTTTAGGTTTTGCACGAAATCTTTCATTGTGTATTTGCTTCCCAGAGGCAGCAGGACTCTTGACTAGATGAAACATCCATTAATTTAAAGTGCAAACCACATCTTTCCTGTTTGCCATGTGTGGATTGTGACTGATTTAAATGAGTCTTAATTTAGGTTACCTTATTAACTTTTTTTTTCTTCCTAGTGTTTTTCCCACAGGTGTAGGGTCCACTTTTTTTTTTCCCCCAGTTCAACTGAACTTTGATCCATTGGTTGGGACAGGAATTGACCAACTGGCTTGTTGCCCAAGCCTGATGTTGTGGCTGAGAGAGTGTGACTGGCCGAAAGTCACCCAGCCAGCTTTCATGCCTAAGGTGGGACTAGAATTCAGTCTCCTGGTTTCTAGCCTGGAGCCTTAACCACTAGACCAAACTGGCTCTCTTTTTTACCTTATTAAGTTTTAATAAGGCTATTTTAAATCTGATCATTCTGGACAGCTTGGCTTCTGATCTTATACCTGGGACAAAATGAAAAGGATTTAACTGCAGCCAAATTAGAGATCTTCACATTATTTTTATTATTTTCAGACTGGGCTGATTTATTTAAGGCTGTAACACTGGAGAAAAGTGGATGCTGATATGCTGATTGCCAATGAACAGTGGGTTTTTTCCCTTCAAATATGTGAATGCCCATAATCAAAATTCATTGCACATAACAATGCTTATGAAAATAATAGGACAGAAGAAATGGTGGAAAACAATTCTCTAGGTAAAATTCTGGTGAATGAGGCATACTTAGGATTGCACACTAAGTACCTTTTCTGCAACTATCCTATATGGAAATATGCCAGCCTGGAGGCCATTCAGTCTGATTTTATGTACCAAATAAGAATGCATTTTAGTAATTATAAGGTGTTATTGTAAAATCAACATCTTTTAAAAACAACTTTTGAAGTTACATAACCAAATCATTCATACTTAAGGTTATCAGATACCTGAACAGGCAAAGGAGGACATGGACAATAGGAAAGGAAGACATACTGTTTAACTTTTTTGGCATCCATGACAAAAACAAATACAGTGAAAAACTGCAAAGAACAAACAAAAAACAAAAACAGAAGTAGTCAGGTGTACATGTGTATGAAATTACATTTTCCAGTATGAGAAAGACTGGTTTTTCAATTGCAGGAATGTGCTACAACCTGTTAGGAGGCAAAAGCCTTTAGCATGTAACTGATTAAGGTCTTGTCAATTTCAGGCAGCTGGACTTCTGCAGTGGGTCCCAATCAACTAATTAAGCTCACTGAGCTTAGCTTGTTAACTTGCTAGTTAGCACTTATTAGGGAAGCACCATGTGGGGCTGCTTAGGAAGAGATAGCTTGTAGATACTCAAAGAGCTGGACAATATTTGATTTTAAGGCTATGCCTGCCAGATGGAGGACATGTCCTCCTTTTGCCAGATGTCGGGTAACCCTATTCATACTAGATTCTAGAGTATAGAATAGAAAAAATAATTTATTAGGCTTAGACCATGATAATGGTCCCTTTGATAATACATTTCTTACCAAAAATATTCAGTGAACTTATGAGATTCTTGATCTTAAAAGGGTTTTTGAAAAATCATTTGATATCACACCCAATGATCTTTCACACATTAACACCAGTTTCTTATGATTTTTAAAAATTCATATAGTTGCATTTTCTTTATGGGAATCTATTGAATATTAGTTTTCTTCTAATCTTAAGGCCACATATAAATAAGGACAAAAATGATTATTCAGTCAGTTTTGTAAATTGTTACATTTTTCAAGGTCACATCCAGCGACAATGCCTTGCCACTGGCAAAAGTAAGATGCAAACTGTAACAGTTCCAATTAATGTACTGATTTAGTTGAATTATGGGCATTCTACAGCAGGCTAACAGAACCTCCAACCAAAATGCTTCCTACCAGTCTTGTAATGTAGTTTGCCAAGAACTTGACATGTTTTAAAGTCTTAAGAAGGGACAAAATTCAGGAATTCTTAAAGGAGATGCCCTGTGTGGCTAGTGGGATTCACTCAGACATGTGGTCCTTAGATATACAGTTTGCATTATCGTTCCTATACATCTCTACACACTGGACAATTAATATATCTTTATTTGTGCTACAAAGATTATGCTGTAATATGTGAAATTTGGCTGTGGAGTTCCATGTGGTCTTCCCTTCTCCTTGCAGGTAATGTTGCTCCCTCTTCTTCTCTTACTGCCCATTACTCCAAGGGAGAGAGAACAGGCTGCTGCACTTTTTCCTCATTTCTTACTATCTATTCATTCAAAGCACAATCAACAGCAGCATGGAAGACAAATAGTTGGGCCCAGAGGCCAAGTGATGGGCAATGGATTCCATCTTCACTCTGTTTCTGATCACAAACTGTTTCATTACTGTATATAGAAATCTACTTGGACTCTGCGGCTAATTTGGTAAAAAAAACAAATATGTTCTTCAAACCACACTCATGTACTGAGAACATTTAAATCTGCAAAATATATTGCAATTAATAAGATTCCAAAAATTAATATAAACCAGTAAAGCATAATCCAAATGATAAAACTGAAAATTAAATGCAGGAGTCAAAAGATTTTTCTTTGATTTTTCTGTATCTTTACTCCTAAAATCGGTTCACCAACCATACTCCAGACAGTTTTGTATTCTTCAGGCAAGTAACTGTTTTACATCTTGAGCTACTTTATTTAATAATTACAAATACATGTTTTATTTTAAAAATATTGTTATTCCTTTTTTAGATTGGTGACTACAAGCAGGAACGAAATATCTTTTATCTTGCTTTGTAAATCATGTATTTTGAAAGAGGAAGTCCTTCATGTTTGCTGAAGGTTCTCTTTGTCTCAATTTTTTGAAGAAAAAATGGTGGTGATGGGATTGTGGCAGCTGTCCTAAGCCTCTGATCTTTAAACCTCGAATATGATTTCAACTGCTTTCCAAGTCATTATTGAGACAGTAATGTTGATTGCCATAGCATTCAAGTGAATATATTAAAAACTACCATGAAATCTTAATGGACTAATAAGCATTATCAACTTAGGAAGATGGCAGTTCTGTCCAGTGATTGGTGTATATAGAGGTCACAATAACATGTGAAACTGGATAAGTTTGAACTGTTAAGTCACTTTCAATCTTTAAAAATGCTAGCAAATACGGTCAATATATCCAAACCTGCCACATGATGTGCATTACTTTGTGTTATATCTGCATCACATTTTAGAAGTTTGGAATACATGAACACTCTCTCTTTCTAAAATGAAGATTTGCATCATTAGAACTACTTATTGACTTTAAGAAAATTTGATTTAGAGAGCTGTGGAAGTTATGAATTAAAGACAATAATAGTCATGCTCTGGGAGAATCTATTATCAGCTGATGAGGTGATTTGTGCTAGAGGAGAAGACACAAACCTTCTATAGACCAGTCTATTCACACAAGGGTGAACAATGTACAGGATGTGATTGTGAACATAAAGAATTGCAGCTGAAGAACAAGTGTGATGACTTGCCCCTTGAAGTAGTTTATTTGTTTTTTCCTCCATACTCACAAGAAAAGTGAAGATGGCAAATATTGATCTTTGGTCAATGTGCACCTGCTCTACTTGAAAAGGATCCAGTTGGGCAGGAGAAGGTGAGAGGCAGGTTGATGATTTTTCCCTGGACCTAACTAAGTGGGAGAGCTGAAGGAGTGAGGCAGGATGGTGGCAGGCATGTCTCCTTTTGATGAAGGGATGTTTGGTCTGGGGTGAAGTGGCTCTATCCACTGGAATAATGTTTTTAATCTCTTTTACTAATGTAGAAATTGTTTGAGGGAGAATTGACAGTAAGCTCTTGTGAGATGAGCTGAGAATGATTTTGGACAGAAAAAAAAATATGAGTCAATAAATCTATCATTCAGTAAAGACACTGAATTTGCTACAAATGTCCTTTTTATTGTTCAGCCTCTTTCCCCCACTTTTTAAAGGCTTATATAAATATGTATTTCACTGCCAGGCAAGTTTCTTTTCCACGAAACTTAGGGGATATGAAACTTGGTGAGCAGTGTTCTGTGAGTTGAAACTATCAAGTAAGAAATGCTCTTGAATGCTTATTAATGTGTGCCATTATACCAGCTTCCCCAACCTGCTCCTATCCAGATGTGTTGGTTTTATGACTACCAAGAATTACCAACTAGTATTGGAATTTTGGGAGTTGAAATCTCAGTATATTTGGGAGTCATCAAGCTGGGGGAAGCTGCATTCTCTTTTAATATAAATGATGTGTGTAATTCTCTACAGAATCAAATTCTGTTTACTTAGGTCTGGAAGAATTTCTATGAAACCTGAGATAAGAACA